CATTTTGTCGACACTCACTCAGTTTTTGGATTTCAGCTAAATAGTACTATTTATCAACTAAGTAAAATATATGAATATGTTTGTTATGGATTGACAGAACGCGCATTTTTTTTATTGGATTTGTTAAAAAATGTGTCTATGTTTATAGAGGTAATGATACAGATAACATTTGAGTATTTACTTGTAATTGTGTTCGAGATCGTGTTGATAAGTATATTCTTAGATAATTATTTATCGTATTCTACATCGCATTTCATCCCATAATTTCGAATTCATTGTTTTACACATGTTTGTTAACTCCAAAATGTTACTTATATCCCAGTTTTGCCGGATTTCTCAACTTATCGATTGTCGTCCGAACTTAACAATGATGTTAGTTTTTTCTGCAGTTAAAGGGAAAGTCAAGGCTAACAACATAATACTCCCAAATAAAAGAGCTCAGCAAATTTAAGAACATGCAATTTACAGTTTGTTATATCACTTTTCATTCTCTAGATATTGAACTTTTCATCAATATATGCAGTCCGCCATCTTGATTCTTCAGCAAAGGATTATGGGTAGAGTATGACATCATAGAATCTGTTGTCAGAAATTGAGAACATGATATATGTATACATTTCAAGCTTTGCACCAGTACGAAATAATGGCATTGCATATAACTATATGGGCTATGTAATTACTCAAAGCCAAATGAGTTGTTTTTGCACCTAAAATCAATACAAACGGTGCTACCATATATATTAGCATCAATGTCATATAATAAGATAAATATAACATTACAAAAATGTAATAACATGAAATTAGTGAAATACTGTTTCTTTTTTTTTTATTTCTTTTTTTATTTATTGGAATCAAGTAATAATTACATATCAGTGTTACCTATCTATTACAGTATATATTGACAGTGATAAGTACAAGTGGTATACATACATAGTATATCTAATGAAATGATAAGTACAAGTAGTATACAGAGATGGGTTATGGCTCAGAAAATTGCTCATTTCTTGAAACAATCTTTTTAGGTATTTACCCCACTTCCTATTATGCGAGTTTAATTTGCAATTTTGGTTTGCAATAATATATTCAATGTATTGAATCTCCTGAATAAAATTTTTAAAATGTGTGAAATTAGGATTTTGCTTTTTCCTTCTACATGTATAAATAACTTGTTTCCCAAAAATTATTAGGAAGTTCAGTAGTAATGAATAATCCTCGTTTCCAAGAAGAATATCTTTGTGAAATACTCTTTCTATAAAACGAATTACAGTTGCAGAAACAGCGCCCCCAATTATCAGATTTTAGTGGAGCAAAGTAAGACTGAGGAACAACGTCGGTTTTGGGTTTATTGGGCGGCTTTATTCGTCACCGTTAAAATTCCCATATGATATCAGTTTGGATGGCTCCAATGTGATAATACCACGACACATTGAAAGCTGTATACTAGTAAGTGGTCCCTTTGTTTAGGCCATATCAGTAATCAAAAGAATCGTACCCACGATATCTGTACCAAGTTGATAGATGAACAATTAGTTTATTATTCACGATGTAAACAAGGGTTACTAATGTTAGAATAATACATTGATAGTGTTGTATGCGAGACTCTGACGTCGCTAAATATATTTTTTGCTCTAAGTAAAGTAACAGCCGTTCTTTGTTTTTCAATTAATGAGATCTAAACATAACACTACGATAAAGACTTTCCGTTTTCGACATTATTGTAGAATTGTTTTTTTTTTGGAAGAGAAAACCCTGAAAAAAAATGATTTTGACGAGATGATTCAGAAAATTTATATTAAGAATAATTTTTAACGAAATGTATTTCCTATGCACCCACAAATAATGTTCATAATCACTGATTACAAAAGAATATTACAGAAAAAGATAATTTGCTATATTCTCTATATTTTTTACATTTTATTTGTCTTGAACTATGACGAAGCTGAATGAAATTACAAACTATGTAGTGTGTTCAACAACTCATGTATGAACAATACTTTACAAATATGATTTTACTTGGGAAAAATGTTATATTTTAGTGCATGAAAACGAAAGAATTTTACAATGTCGAAAACGGAAAGTCTTAATCGTTGTGATAACATTGTATTTATTACCGAAAGCACATTGTAATATTTTAACAATAATCAACAGTAAAGGGATAGAATGCATACACTTAACGCTTGAGATCACAACGCTCTGTGGGTTGACGGAGAGTGACAAGTGACGGACGCTGGCAATAATGAACACAGCTCTGCAACGAGATCATCTCATATCCTGGCT